AAACTTGTGGAAGTGAATGTTGAAAACTAAAAATAAATAAATTTATATTTAAAAAAAAAAAAGAAATGATAAGCAGATGGACTTCAGAAAAACCTGCAAAGACTTACATAAACTGATATAAAGTGAAGGAAGTAGAACTAGGAGAACACTGTTCACAGTAACAGCAATACTATACAATGATCAACTGTGAAAGACTTAGCTATTCTCAGCAATACAATGATCTAAGACAATTACAAAGGACTCATGATTAAAAATGCTATCCAGCTACAGAGAAAGAATTGATGGAGTCTGAACATAGATCAAAGAATACTGTTTTTCACTTTCTGTATTTTTTTCATTATTTTTTCCTTTGGGTCTGTGTCTTTTATGAGATATAAGGAAAATGTTTGTTTCCATAAATTTGGAGCAAACAGCTAGAAAAGTAACTAAGTAAAACAGGATACAGCAGGTTTTATCTTGTTTTGCAGACAGAAATCAGTTAAGTAGAACAAAAGATTCCATAAAATTGAAACAACTGCTAAAAGTAAGTAAAATGGGATAAAGCTGATCTTATCTTGTTTTGCTGATAGAAGTTAGTAAGTAGAATTAGAGTGTGTATGTTTAATAGGCTTATGAATATTAGCTTCTCCACCTCCAGGTGTCTAAGACACCATTTTCTGAACATAGGATGTATGAAGAAGGAGAAGAGACATGTCAGGGAGTAAATGTGTAATAGGCAGACCAGAAAGTTGTACAATCTGGAGTATTCAGCCAATGAGGAAACAGAAGAGGGACTTTGTGGCCTGGATTAGAGATAAACAGTGAACTCCTTCTTTGGTACAGTGTGTTGTAGTCCTTGTGACACCCGTTATTATGCAACTGCATAATAACCTGGGCTTTCAACTTCATCCCTCCTGAGTCTGCATGAGTTATTTCTTACATTTTACAACATGACTAACATGGAAATATGTTTTGCATGATTGAACATGTATAACCCACATCTAATTGTTTACCCTCTTAGGGAAGGAGGAGAAGGTGGGAAATACAGAAAATCTGAAACTCAAAAAATTTTTTAAATGAATGTTAAAAACTGTCTTCATGTGTAATTGAGGAAAAAATAAAACATTATTTTTTAAAAATTAGAACCCCAACATTAAAAAACAAAATAGGAATCCTGAAAATCAAAGGAAACTAAAAAATTGAAAGCAAAAGGTAAAAAGAAAAAGACCTCATTGAATTAATATATAAAAGAAGAATATGATTTTCTTGAAAAAAACAACATCAACAACAAATAAAAAGGATAAGTCATTGGCTAACCTGATTAAAAAAAAGAAAAGAAGAACAAATTACCAGTATCAAAAATACAAAAGGTGAACTGACAACCAATGAAGAACAGAAGAAATATTAGGAGATAGTTTGCCCAACTATATGACAATAAAACTAATGATCTCAATGAAAGGAATATTTACAAGAATGTCAGTTGCCCATTAGCAGAACAGGAAACAGAAGACAAATAGTTCTATCTCAGAAAAAAAAAATTGAACACGCAATAAACGAACTCCCCTCAAAAATCCACAGAACCAGATGGATTTACAATCACACAGAAGATTTAATTTCAATAATACATAAACTGTTTGAAAAAAATAGGGGAAAAGAGGCTCTACAAAATTCTTTCTAAAACACAACGATGGTGTCAATACCTAAGCCAGGAGAGTCAAAACAGAGAAAGAAAACTGTAGGTTAATATTCCTAATGAATATTGATGCGAAAAGTTTATATAAAATATCCGCAAGGAAACTATGGCATCACAAAGATTATAAATACGACCAGGCTGGATTTATTTCAAGAATGAAGAAAACCATAAACATAACTGACCATATTAGCAATAAAAAGCATATCATCATATCAATACAGAAAGATAATACGCATTCCTGATAAAAACACTAGAAAACATAGGAATAAGTAGCATTTTCCTTAAAATGGTAAGCAGTAACTGTTAAAACCAAGAGCCAATATTATCAGGTATGGGGATAAGCCAGAGGCCTTTCCAATAACATCAAAAGCAAAGCAAGGCTGTCCATTATCACCATTAGTACTTAATATAGTGCTAGGTATGCTAGCTACAGTAATAAGACAAGAAAAAATTGAAGGAATAATCATAGGCAAAAGGAAACAAGATTATTACTTTTGAAAATGCTATGATGGTTTTCTAAAAACTAAGTGAAACTAATAACAACTTTAACAAAGTTAGAAGACATAAAATAAACCCACATAAATCATCAGCATTTCTATATATTACCAACAAAATCCAGCAGAAAGACACAGAAAAAAGAAATTCCATTTAAAATAACTACAGAGAGTATAAAATAACTTGGGTGTCTACCTACCAAGACATACAGGAACTATATGAACACAATTCCAAAACACTCTTTAATAAGTCAGTCACATTTACTAAATTCCCACTAAGTGCTAGGCACTGGGGATACAAAAGGAGGCAAAAGATTCAGGGCTGTTGTGGGCGGTGATAGGACAAAGGGATAAAGAATTCAAGGGTAGCTAATAACAGATGGTTGAACTATCAGCCACAGGTCAAGACTATGAAATGAGGCAAGAGAGACCACAGCAGGGATGATGGACTGGGCGAACAGGATAACCTAGAAGGACAGGAAATCATGGTGAATAGGAAGAAAAGATTAGAGGAGGACTGTGGTACAATATATAGGACAGTGGACTCGGAGGGAGGAAGACTCGGGTTCCAATTCTGCCTCAGACATTTACTGGTTGTATGGTCCTAACTAAACTATATGAGTTTTCTGGGCCTTGGTTTCTTCATCTGTAAAATGAGGGGGTTTGATTCAATAAGGGATCTTCTAGCTCTAAATGTAGATCCTATGTTTAGGAGGTGTGAAGCAGGAGAGACTGAAGTACAGGTTGTACTGTCTGAAGAAAAAGGAAGTCAGAATTCTGGGTCCTGGAAATGGAAGGATGATGGGTTACGATCAGATCAAGATTAAGGCCATGATTGCAGGACTAAGGAGGAATGAAAAGGGAGTTCACGGGAATTGAGAAAGTCAGTGGAATGGGAGAACAGGCTGTCCTAAGGAACATCAACCTGTATGGTAACATCTCCAAGTATAAAGACAGAGGCTAGAGTGAAGAAGGGAAGACTATGAGTCACACGCTAAACTCCTTGAAAAAGGAGGGAGAATAATCTGGAAATCAACAGAATACTGTGACAAGCAGCTGGAGTTAGAGACAAGAGATGGATAGAGTATAGATCACAGAGAGAGAGCTTGCTGGGTGTGATGGTAGGTAGCAAAGCGATAATTTGGGAGTGAGGAATAAGGAGTAAGTCAACCCTTCCTCTTGGAATACCCAGAATTAGAGGGGGTGGCCAGGGATTCAAGGCTTCTTGAAAGAGAGCCAAGTTTTCATTCAATCTAGAAGATGCAGAGAACATGAAGAAATGTAGACTAACAAAGAGTTTGTTAACAGGAAACTGAGGATTACAGAGGATACCATGGAATTAGAGGAAAGAGGATGATAACAAATATTGCAGGTGGGTAAGACTGGTGTGGATAGAAATGAAAGGCTGGAGAAGGAGAGAATTTTCAGCAGATAATAACTCTGAAGCATAGGGACAAGGAGATAAGGAAATGGGAATTTTCCCATCATAGGCTTTATTAATCAAGTCTCTGGGTATCGTTCACTTATCAGTTACAAATCTAATTGCTCTACCATACTGCCCACACTTCTTTATTTTGTACACAAGGCCACGAGAGACCTGGGCAAACATCTTCCTGAAATAAAAATGTGCTAGACAGTGGTATGCTAAAGCCAGCTCAAACCAGCTTGGGAGAGGCAACTTAAATTTTCAGTATGACAGCATTTACCTAAAGATAATAAGCAAATGCAACAAACAGAGCTTGATTGCTGTTGACTGTCTAGACTTACAGCAATAGATAAAATGTTAATAATGCAGATTAAACTTAAAAGTGTCTCATGCTTACACCCTCTCCCTCCCAGAGAGCCAGCTATTAAACATTTACCAACACACTACTGGCTATATCAATAACAATGCATGATCTGTCAATTCAGTATACCTATCAGAAAAGGCTAGTAAGTTGTCATTAGTTTGACAAAATTTGTTCTTCATGGACATATGCCACTAAACAATAATAACAGCCTCAAACTATCTGCTTAATAATACATTCAGTAAACTAGAAATCAAACCTTATAAAGTAAATGTGTTATGGAGTGATTATTCTTATTACAGAGAATATGGGGTTGGTTTCAAAAGTTAACTAATTTAAACTGGTACGATTTATGTTTAATTTATCAGAAATGCAGGTATTAAACTTTGAAAATTAATTTCACTTTACAATTACATGCGATAAAATAAACATTTTATAAGATAAGAAGGTGATAAGGATGTGTGATAAGATGTGTTTGTTGTCTAAGATGGTGTTTAGTACAGCTTTCACACCAAGTCATTTTAGCTAAGAAACCTGATTCCTTAAACTGCCACATTCAATCCTGAACCAAAACCCACTTAACATCAGAGATGGAGATTACAATGCACAGAAGGAGCAAGCCTCCAAAAAATAACAGAGCACTAGTTAGCAATGCTGAGGAAAGGAAAAATGCTGTGTATTTTCTATAAAGCTCTAACATAGTAAGAATCAGTGATTCTGAGCTGTAATTCCCTCATTTCCCTTCCAGGTATTAGGAGTCCGGTATTTTAATTTTTGAAGGGACAGTTATACAAGCACCATTTTGGAACTAACCTGTAAGAGTGATGTGAAATCCATAAGCCTGTACATACCAAGGGTCAGACCATTAAGGACCCTTCCAACCCTCACCTCTTTTTATGGTTCTTGCTTTTGTTTTTGTTTTTTTTCCTTGGGGGTAGGAGGGAAGGATAGAGAGGTGGGAGAAGACGGGGAAAAAGAAAGTCAGGTTCTGCCTCCCTCTCCCAGGACAGAGTAGCAGCCACTCACAGGTCTGCAGACCCTCCTTACCTCTTTAAGAACCAGAACACAGTTTCCTGGTCCTACACATTGAGGCAGTTCAGCAATTCTTCCTTTGTTAAGATAAGGCCCTGAGAAGCAACGGTGGTTGAAGTAGATCTTTGGACAGAAGTATTTTCCATTAATTGTGACTGGAAAATGAAAAGAATTGTAAACACAGTTATCTCTTCCACATCACAACTTTCCCCACTGAGGTTTTGACATACAATTAAATGGGAATTTGGGGGGAGTTTTGCCAAAGTCACAGATAATATTGCAAAGGCCAGCAGATGATACAGAAAAAGTTTAGAAATTCAGAAATGCAGAAAACATATGTACAGTATTGTGTAATATAAACATATTTTATCTTTTAATACCATAATATTTCAGACTTCTTTTCTGGTATGAAGGGAAGGCCAAAAAAATTTTACATGGATTTTCCAGATCACTTGGGGTGGGTAGAACCACACATACCCTTAATCTCACTCCCCACAATGTGAAAGAGATAATTGTATTCAAATATGTAGTTACTACTCATCCCATGCTTCCCTTAAAGTAGACCCTAAGAAAACCCAAATAAAGCAAATTACATACCAAGAACTCTCTACACATAATAATAGCCAGCACTTATATAGCACTTTAAGATTTGCATAGTTCTTTCTCTACAAATCCCATCTCTTTATCCTCAAAACAACATTGGGAGATAGGTGTTATTAGTATTATTGCCATTTTACAGATGGAGAAACTGAGGCAGACAGGTTAACTGACTTTTCCAGGGTTACCCAGCTAGTAAGTGTCTGAAGTTGGATTTGAACTCGGCTCTTCCCGATTCAGGCCAGACACTCTATCCACTCACTAGTATTGGTTTAAACCCAGGAGAGTAGCAAGGCCATGGTAATGTTCAGCTTGACTTTTAGGGGTATTTTTATATGCAAAGTTCATCAGAAAAGTTGAGGTTCAATTAAGGGGAACATGAATCAAAAGAGGATGAAGGAAGAACAGGGAATTATTCCTACTTATGCTTCAGTACCTTTGATTTTGAATAAAAGTATGGGATGAATATATATGTTATTGTAGACCCCACCCCAAACCATTTTGAACCCCCAAGACCTGAGAAGGCCTAACACCTGGATTGGCCAATCAGGAGAGACATTTTGGCTCACTCTGAGCTTAACCTACCATAATGCTTTGTATGCTCTGGCATAACAGATATCCTTTGCTTTGCTCTCTGAGTGAATTCAAAATGCCCCTTCCTGTGTCAACAACTACAGGGGCCAGATGAGGCTGACCAGAAACACTCTTCTGTTTATGACCACTAAAGACAGGGTGCCTGGGACTGGAGATTGTCTTGAATTTGTGGGCCTTTTCTTATTTTAGTACTTTATGGACATATGCTATGTAGGGGAAAGGTGGATATCCTGAATTTGTAATTTCAATTGACACTTTGACATTCTCCTACCTTATTGTATTTACAATCCATCCACTTAAGAAATTCCTTTCTCATATCATGGTTAACACATATGTAGATCATAATTTTGGCTGATACAGGCATCCTGAGCCAGGAAGGGAGGTAGGGGTGAGAGGGAATTTCTCTGAAGATACAAGATTTGCTTTGTCTGTCCATCCTCGGGCTCATTTGCACTATGAGCTCCCAAGCATATTTCTATGTGCATGTTCCACAAGCTTTGAAAGAAATAAACACTCATATGCAATCTAATTTTGTCTGTCTTTCTAAGAATGAACTTAGTAATGGCTGACATTACACAAAATACATGTTCATAACATAAGGATTCACAACAAATATTTGCTAGGTTTAGTATAGAGTTGGTCCTAATATTAAAAATTATTTCTAAAACAAAGATGGGTTAGGGTTAAAGACTTATCTATAAAAATACAGGTAATTTTCAACAGTAAAAGTAGATTTGTTCTACATGGGTTAATTTCTTTAAATTAATCAGTACAATTATTTGGATTTTATTTTATGCCTTTATCCAAAGACTTACTGTTAGTTATATTACACACTCTCATCAGACTGTGTTTTAAAATTTCAATGAATATCTTAACTACGACAGACATAGCTTGGTTTTAATGGTTTATAATTTTATGACAAATAGATCCCATTACATTAGTCAAGTCGTCACAGTCAAGTCAAACATTTAAGTGCCTCCGATGTGCCAGGCACTGTGCTGTTAATTAGTATAGGTTCCCTGAATACATATGGAATTCAAACACAGAGCAGAAACTCTGGAGGGGCAGCTAGGTGCAGCAATGGATAGAGCACTGGCCCTGAAGCCAGTCCCAGGAGGACTGAGTTCAAATCCAGCCTCAGACCAAACACTTGACACTTACTAGCTGTGTGACCCTGGGCAAGTCACTTAACCCCAACTGCCTAAAAAAATAAAGAATGAAAAACAAAAAAACAAAAACAAAACAAAAAAAGAAACCTTCTAGAATTACAGAATCTCAGAGAGAAAATGCCCCTAAGAGGCCATGGAAGCCAGCTTATAGTTGAGCAGGAATCTCCTCTCCAACAAACCAAGTACATCATCCTATGCTTTCTGTGATTGTTTTTCTGGTCCTTTTAGTCCATATTTAGCATCATTTCCCGAGGCAGCTCATTCTTGCAGAAAGCAGAGGTTAGGATATCAAGCCTAAGCTGGCCTCTCTACAATGCTGGTCCATTGTTCCTGGGTAAGCCTCTAGAGTTCAGAACGCCAATCTGGCCCATCCTCTATACGACAGCCTTTCAAACACCTGAAGACACTTATCTTGTCTCCAACCCCTGACCCCTGCCCCACTGGGGCCTTCTCTTCTCTTTCTGAGACCAAACATCCCCAATTCTTCAAATCCTCTTATAGCAAAATTCAAGACTTCCCCATCCCAGCAACCTTTCCCTCTAGCTTATCAATGTACTTCTTCTGAGGTGTTACCTGGAATTGAACACAGAAATCTAAATATGTTCTGAATAGGGGCAAAGTATACAGTAGCATTATCATCTTCCTCATTACAAACACTTCACACAACTTAGAATCAAATTCACGTTTCTGGTTGCCATGTTGCAGTGCTGAATTATACTAGTCATTGCTATTACTTTTTCGCATCAACACTACTGTCTCACATGTCCTCCGATCACAACTTATGAAGCTGATTTGATCATTAGTATTCCAAACATATTGATCTCCACTAAGGTCATCTTATTAGACTAAAGTCAATACTTTAATTTGTCAGAATCTTCTGGATTTTGACTTTTATCTGGTGAGTTAGCTGCCTCTTCCACCTTTGTGTCATCTGCAAATCTGGCAAGCTTTTATTCCACAGAAGAGTCTGGGGTATTCCATTAAAGACATCCATCCAAGTTAATATCAGCCAATTACTGACTACTCTTTCCCATCAGTTCTCTAGGTATTCTCCAGGCAGCACAGCTTTCTACATACCCACTTTACTGTGTTGCATGAATCTACTGAAGCAGCAGCCTTGAATCCTATTATTTGGAAAATATCAAAGGAATAAAGATTTGACAACTTCATCCAACAAATTAAGTTTCACCAATGAGAATATAAAGTTTTATTCTAAGCAAAATTTGGTTACAGTAAAGCTCAGATTTCATTCAATCAGCACCTAGCACAAAATTTTCCCCTCCTATTGATAATAGCAACTATTGCTGCTAAAAAAAAAAAGCTACTGCATCACCAAGTTGTTCAGATAATTTAAAAGTAGTTTCATTTTTACAAAAAAAAGTAAACAGAAACTTTTGATAAATGTTCTTAGCATTAACTTGGTTGAGGAAAAAATAGTACACAAGTCTCTTATTATTTTAGCTTTTAAAAAAAAAACTTCATCACGTTTTTCAAATTCACTCTAGTTAAAAGTATTGCCTTACCTTTTAAAAGATCAAGTGGTCTGCCCAAAGATGACATGAAGAATATCAGTTAATGTCTTTGTGCTGAACCCAAATCAGCCTATGGTCAATAATACACCGCAAAATCTGCATCCTTGGTCCTATACCAAGGTATGGGGTAAGGCATTATCTAAGTGAACATATAAGCTAACCTAGGGATGATCATAAGGACAGCTGAACTACATTTGTGGTTTCCTTTAACAAATCAATGAAACCAATTCTCATGTTCTACAAAGGCCTGGTCTAGGGGTTGGAAAAACAAAGGTTGCCCAAGGTCATACCTGAATCTGGAGGATTTGGCTCCTGACTCTTCAGACTTTCATGGACCATCCTCGAAGGTATGATTCTGAGGTGGGAAAACAAAGAGAACAAACCAGCTTTCAATGGTTATTGTTCTGGTCCTTTTAGTCTGAATGAAGAGTCTTCAAGATAAGGAAAAATCTGTAACTCCATGCACTTCAAATTAATAAGAGAATGAAGGCACTGGATGGCTAAATCTATAAAAGTAAAAATGCCTGTGAGTGATTTTTTTTTTAAATGCATGGTTACAAAAATAGAAGAACAAGGCCTGGTGGGCTGATGAACAATATGAATAAAGTCTTGTGATTAGTCTGCACTCTTAAAGTGATTTTCATTTTCAATGAAGGAGTAATATATGTTATCAGACTTTTTGTTTTTTTTTTTTTGTGAGGCAGTTGGGGTTAAATGACTTGCCCAAAGTCACACAGCTAGTGAGTGTTATGTGTCTTGAGGCCACATTTTGAACTCAGGTCCTTCTGACTCCAGGGCTGGTGCTCTATCCACTGTGAGACCCAGCTGCTCCCCATCCCCCCCCCTTTTTTACTTTTTGGATTTTAAAAAACAAAGAAAATCGGAAGAAGCAAACCACAAGGAAAATCTATTTTTTTTTCCAATGGCTACATTGCTTAGTTGTTTAAACTTAGAAAAAATTAATAAAGATAATACTGCTACGAATACCACAGTAATTACTCTGCCCACTGCAAGTCTGAATAATTTCTCTTTTCTGAACAACATGTTCTCACTTGTTTTGGTTGATAACCTAATTAAGATCAATGTTCTCATTAGTATTCAATTCATCTACAGAGCAATGTCATAATAATAATAGTGGTAACAAAAGCTAGAATTTATATAGTGCTTTAAGATTTGCAATATGCTTCCTCAATATCATCTCATTTTATCCTCATAGCAATCCTGGGAGGTAGACTTTTAGTATTATCTTTGTTTTATAGATGAAGAAACTGAGGCAAAGGTTAAGTAACTTACCCAACCCGGAGTCAGGAATACCCAAGCTCAAATGTGGCCTCAGACACTTAACAGCTGTGTGACCCTAGGCAAGTCACTTAACATCTGTTTGCCTCAGGTTCCTCAACTATAAAATGGAGATAATAATAGCACATACCTCCCATGGTGCTTGTTAGGGTAAAATGAGATAATACTTGAAAGTGCTAGTACAGCACTTAGTACAGTGCCTAGCACTACATAAATGCTGTTTTTCCCCCCACTGGAGAAGAACAAGTACTACTTCTTCAAATACCTAACCCCCTGTCCAATCACCCATAACCTGGCCCAACCCTAACCTTGAATTACTCCCACCATCTGCCTCCATTGCTCCTATTTATGTGCCCCTGAACTGAGTTAGAAACAAATCATGAAACGGTGTTGCCTGGGTCGACTAAAAATTTATGTTACGTAATCGTAGCTGGGCGTCACTGCAGCAAGGCAATCCTTGTGGATTCATTAGAGGATTCCCTATCCCACTCACCACAGCAACTGTACCAAACCTTTTCATCCCTCCTTGACTCTTCCACAGCACCTTCTCCCCTCACCCTTCAGCTAAGGGCCTGACAAAATACTTTACAAAAAAAATTGAGGCTATCTGCTGAGACATTACAACCAGTATTACCCCCATTCTCTCTTTAGTTTTCAGCCTCTTTCTGTCTACTGGCTCCTTCCCTACTGCCTACAAACCCATCCTTTAAAAAAAAAATTACTTGATCCAACCATCCTTGATAGGGATTGTCCTATATCTCTCCTCTACTTCCTGGCAAAACTCTTTGCAAAACAATCTACACTCTACCTCCACTTCCTCTCCTCAGCTGATTCTAAAACCTCTGCATTCTAGCTTACAATCTCATCATTCAACTGAAGCTGCCCTCTCCAAAGCTGTTGCCTCTTAATTGATCAGTCTAACAGCCTTTTCTCAGCCTTCATCTTCCTTGAATTCTGTACAACCTAAAACTGCTCATGTACATCTTCTAGATAGGTACTCCTCTGAATTTCTTGGTGCTGTTCTTTCTTGGTTCTCTTCCCATCTGACCATTCCTTCTCAGTTTTCTCTGTTGGATCTTTATCCAGTCTACACCCACTAACAGTGAGTATCCATCAAATCTCAAACTGGATCCTCTCCTTTTCCTCCTCTATACCATCTTGCCTGGTGATACCATCAGCTCCTATAGGTTTTATCATTTCTATCTGCAGATGACTCTCGGATCTATATATTCAGACCTAATCTCTCTCCTGAGTTTCAGTCTCACATCACCAACTACCCTTTGGACATACTAAACTGTACGCCCATAGACATATCAAAGTCAACATGCCTAAAATAGAATTCACTCTCTTTCCCTCTCAAACCCTCCCCTTCTTTCCAACTTCCCTATTACTATTGAGGGTATTATAATCATCCTAGTTACCCAGGCTTACAACCTCCATGTGATCCTCAATTCTTTCACTATCACTCCATATATCCAAATTGTTGGCAAATCTTGTCATTTCTACCTTCACAACATCTGAATACGAACCATTCCTTTTTCTCACACTACCACCCCTCTTGGTATAGGACCTCATCACCTTACACCTGAACTATTGCAACAGCCTACTGGTTGGTCTCCCTGTACCAAGTCTCTCTCTGCTACAATCCATCCTCAATGTAACTGCCAAAACAATGTTTTAAAAGCACAGATCTGACCATGTCACACCCGTACCTCCCCCCTATCCTCCCCCCACATTAAACTCTAGTAACTCCTTATTACCTTAAGAATGAAATATGAACTCCCCCATTTGGTACTGAAAGTCCTTTTTCACCTTTTTCCTCTTCTCCATTCATTTTTAGGATCCAGCTACACTGGCCTACTTCTAGTTCCTTGAACACTGACATTCCATCTTCCTTCGCCATGCTTTTTCACACGCTTTTTCCAATATGCCCTGAGAATTCTTGCCTTCCTCACCTCCACCTCCTGGTTTCCTTGGCTTCCTCCTTTAAGACTCATTCTATTTCCACTCCTTGCTGGAGGCCTTTCCTAGTTCTCCTTGCCACCCTATGCCTTTTCTCTGAGGGATTTGCATGTTCACTTTCCCATTAGAATGTGAGCCCTCTGAAAACATGGCCTATTTTTTAAAAATTTTCTTTGTATCCCCAGCACTTACATACTGTGGGCACATAGCGAGTGCTTAACAAATGCTTCCTAACTGGCTGACTACATCTCTTCCAGAAAGGATAGAGTTCACCTGCTGATAATCACTCTTCTATGCTCTGTTATTGCTGCTAGACAGGTACAGAGAACTCTTCTGTCTCTAAGGGTGACGTAGGGGTGGTCCTTTCTCTAGTTATTACCCATTCTTCTCTGGAGATCTGATCATCACCACCTTCTTCAAACAATTAGCTCACTTTTTTGCTCAGAGGCAATATAATGGCCTATTAGGTACATACAGTCCCTTCTTCTGCATTTTTAAGATTTATATTGGATAAAAAATTAGCAGTATGATTACAATAGCTCTGAGCCCCCAATCAGGAAAATGTCTAATATTCAAGCAAAGGTTTAGCTCTATAACCTAATTAAAGTTTATGTTTATCTCTACGTAACTGCTGACCTCTTTATGTTTGAGGCCTTGAATCTTTTTCATTCCGTCAAGCATATTCCTGAATGATACTTCCCATTCTTTACTAGCAAAACCTAGCATGCTACCCATTCCCATCCCATTTGTCTACAGATATATTAAAATTCTAATTCAAATATTGGGGCTGCATGAACTAGTCAAGGAAAACTTATTGCATTTTTGCTTTCCACTTCTCTTTCTAAGAAAGGATGAATTTTCAGGATAAGAAGACAATCTGTACTATGCTAAAATAAAGTTTTATGTTTAAAAATCATTTATATTTCAGAAGAGAATATACAGAAAGTATACTCCTCTCAAATGACTTCTTTTTCTATAAAATGAAAGTCTAAATGGCAATTATCAAGAATACTATGGTGTTACTTACTGTTTTTCTGGCTGAACCACTGCAACTTTTCTCTGTTTATTCACTAGAAAAAAAAATTCACATAAATGTCACCTAATACCATAAGGAAAATAAAGGAAAAAAGTCATATATATGTTAAGTTTATAGCAAACATATTAAAAACATACTGTAATCCTTTTATACAACTTTGCAATATGGGAAACCAATTACTGAGTAAAACAAAACAACGTTTACATAACTATTACACTTATACATTTTCCAAGTTTTTAGGCAAGGAAGGAAGAGAAAAAACCTTGTACTGCAGCTCAATCATCTGCTACAAGCTTTTGGAGCAGGAGTTTACCAAAGTAAAAGTGGAAAGGCATTCAAGGGCATCATGCAGATTTTTTTTCTTAAAGAAAACAGGGATAAAACACTGCTTTTAACCTGGTACCTCTAAACTGCAAGAGACTCTTACTCAATTGCGAGCCAACTCTAGTTCCAAGCAATGTGTCTATAATGGAGACTGTCAATACTCCCTGTCCTTCTTGACTACTGACCACTTGACCACAGGTAGTAGTATATGAACACAGCTTGAAAAGCAGCTTAAGAAGTTACTGAAAAATGACAGGTATTTTGTAGCATATAGAGAGAAGGAACTTCACACTAAGAAGAATTAATCAAGCCTGCAGCAGAAAGAAGCAGCAACTTCTAAAATAAATTATACTGGTATTAATGTGGCCATCACAGTTGGTACTGTGAAAAGAGCACTAAAATAGGAGTCAGAAGACCTGGGTTTGAATCTTAGTTCTACCAAGTAATCTTTGTAGAATTAAGCAAATTACTTAATCTTTTTGAGCCTCAGCAGACCCTAAGACCTAGTTGAGCAATCTACTCAGAAGAGACGCTGCATGAGAACTCCATGGGGAAAGAAAGGATATCAAAGTCCTACAATAATACAAGAGGCTTAAGTCGCCTGGGCTAGACGTTCCCTCACATATACCTCACTACCAGTGTATTCCAAATTTGTGCCAATTCTTTCTGTGGTCACTATCTCTACCTGTGGAAGAGTGTGGCCCAGGCTTATGACGGAACTGTTTTATAGCTATTGCTCTTACTATGTTATTTTAATGAATGCCTTTGCTTTAAGTGAATTGTGTTCACTAGCCAATCAGCAATGTCCACTGATGGGGGATCACGTGCTAAAGTTGGGAGTGTCCCGCCTTGATGCTCACTCGTCAAGTCAGTATCACAAAAGGCAGGGATATTGCACCGAAAGGAAACATTCAGATTGGCAGAACTAAGAAACAGTGGAGCCACAAAACCCACTGTCAAAAGCTAGAGAGATGACATTAAGGAGGATGAGAACTGAGGAAAAGACCTCAGAAAAGACCTCTCTCTTTCTGGACACTCATACCCTGGAACCCACTGGAATAGCCCAGGAGAGAGGCGATGAAGATCTGAAAAACAGCAGCATTTGCTTCAGAGGGTCTCTTAGTTAGTGGTTTTGAACAAGTCAATAAAAAGAAGAGATGTTATGGAAGCAGAAACACTAAGATTTACTAAATGACTGGATACATGGAATTAAGTATCTAAGATAACAATGAGTTAGCTAATCTGGAAGACTAGCTAGCATGTATAGGGCACTATAAGGTCTGCAAAACACTTTACAAATATTACCTCATTTAATCCTCACAAGAACCTATTTTACAGATGAGAAAACTGAGGCTAAGAGTAGCTTGCCTAGGGCCATACAGCAAGTTAAGAGTCTGCGGCAGGATTTGAACTCAAGTCTTTTTTAAAAAAAACTTCAAATCCAGCATTCTATCTTCTAAGCCAAGAAAAACAGTAGAACCTTTGACAGAAATAGGGAAGTCTGGTAAAGGATAACACTTGAAGGGAAAGATGAATTCTGTTTTGGACATGTTAAGTTTGAGGTATCTTCGGGACAACCAGTATGAAATGTCTAATGGGCAGCTGGTGACGAACTCAGGAGAGAGATTAGGGTTTTATATATATAAATCTGTAAATAATCTGCAAGGCATTAGCTCACCAAGAAAAGGTGTAGAAAAGGTAGAAAAAGAAGGCCCAAAAGAACACTCTGGCACACACTGACAAGGGGCATGATATAAATGTCCACATAGGTAGGGACAATTAAGAGAAAATAATTTAAAAAAAAAAACTCAGAGAAGAAAGAGTATCTTGGAGATGAAAGTGTGTCCACGGTGTCAACAGCAGCAGAGAAGGCAAGAATGATGAAAACTCAGAAAAGACTATCAAACCTGGCAATAAGTTTTAGTTGAATTATAAAGTAACATGCCAGATTTCAAAAGATCAAAATAGATATTGTAATATGATACAGAACAAAGTTAAGAGAACCAGAAAAAACACACACACACACACACACACACACACACAATTATGAAAAAAGAAAAAAGAAAAAAGGGGCAAAAGTAGCAAAACTTTGAGAGGGCCTTAAAAGGGGCACAGAACAAAAGCATTTTGTTTGCTGTGTTATTTTGTTTGGTTCTGTAATGTTGTCTGATTTGTCCCATACTGTATGTCTGTTTTTACTGTTAGTTGTTAAGTATATAATAAAAAATGATTATCCTTTTAAAAGGGAAAAAAATGTTGGAGTACACAAGATAATTTTCACAGGAACTTGGCTCTAATATTATGATATAAATTAATAAGAATTCCAATTAACAGAACTTGCTATATAATCTTAATTTCAAAAACAATTCTGCAAAGCACTGGATTAAATTAATATCTTGGCACTTTGAAGAATTTAAAAGTATGCTATCTATCAATGTAAGTTGGGGGGGGTGTTGGTTACCAACAGGTATTAGGGTACCTGGGAGGTTTCATATATCCAGAGGTAGGATAACTCCCTCCCAACCCCCCGCAAAAGGGTCATAGTGATAGCTAAGAAAAGGAACGATAATCCTGGGAACAATATCTTTTGGGCAATTAAAATGAGGTGTCTATGGCTACAAGGGAGCATAAGAGAACATCAGTTATCACAGGCTAGTAACAGATGAGATCTATTTGCAATACTTAGCATCTTCACTTTGCAGTTTCATCCCACAGATTCATTAAAATTATACTTCATTTCTGGGCCTTAAAAACTACTTGAGCACATTATGACTAAAATAAGCTTTGATAGTGGACCATTTTTAATAGAAATTCTGCTACTTAAAAAAATTTCATTAGTGAATAAATGACACAACTTTGATTGGAGGCTTTAGAGCTAAAAAGATCCTTAGAAACACCTCACCAGCTCCTTCATCTAACAAATGAGAAAATTTAGACAAAACAGTTAAGAATCTTACCCTAGTAATAAGTAGCAAAACCTCAAGAGAGATATCTGACTGACACAAAAGCTTCCTTTTCTTCTTTGTAAATTTCATTATTGTATAATGATACATTCCTAATGTTCCAACTGGAACAATAACATATTTCATGATTCATATTAAGCTAATCTAGGTTTTATTTTTACCTTTGTAATTGCAAACTTTTGTAACATAATAACTGAACACATGGTGGGGGGCAAGTTTATTAGATTAGGATTCTAGAGCCTAAGTATTAGATGTTAGAAATTCTAACGTATGATGTGCTAATAAGACTCAACATAATTGGAAGCATTTTCATACCATGCAGCCCATAGTCCTCAAAACCAGTCATACCTACTGCTCGACGAGGAGATCGGAGCTGGTATCCGTTGGTTTCACACCAACTCACAGGGAAGATATTCATGGATTCCACACTTACAATGCATTCAGGTACTGGCTTTTTAGAGCCTAACAAAATTTTTTAAAAGTTAGCCTGTTAGTGTACTTCTAAATTCTATTTCATAATACTATTCTGTATCAATGATGACATCAAGAGAATATAAGTTCCTTGAGGACAGACTGTGTCATTCTATATCTCTGCATGTGGATCAAATATTTTGTTTAATAGGTTACTTCAAAACAAAATTCCCCATTTTCCACATCCACAGAATAAAGCATGCACAAAGTATTTGAGTATTCTAATATTTCAGTGTCCAATGTGGACCAAAGGTGACCGTTGGTTACAGATGAAAAAATGTGCAGAAAATTTATTTAACAATAATTAGGCTAATAGCTAACATTTAATAATGCTTTAAGGTACACAAAAACACTTTACATATGTCATCTCATTTTATAATCACAGAACCCTGTAAGGGAGGTGCTACTGTTATCCTCATTTTACAGATGAGGAAACTGAAGCTGGAGGCTAAGAGTGGCTTGGGGTCCCATCAGTAGAAAGCATCTGAGACAGGAGATGAGCTCAACTTTTCTTTACTCCAACCCTGGCATTCTCTCCACTGCACCAACCATTCAAAAGATCAGCACAGAGAGCACCAGAAAGAAGAATCTACCTCTTGAAAATAAGAAGGCAACAAAAAAATAAAATCAATCAGCCCACTCTAAAATACCATTAGTTTTCCCTATACAGCGGACCCCTAGCAAAAGCCGAAAAAACTCCTTTATTAGAAACTGTAATTCAATTCATTGTTAATTGTTTTGAAGTAGAGCACAATGCAAATGATTTAAACAGTATTAAACATTTCAACAGAAATTCTAGGCAGTTCTAACATTTCCCAGAATACTGCTATGAAACTGGAGAGCTGCAACACATTTCCAAAGCCTAACTAATTTTCTGGCATTCCGGACCTCTCTCCCACTTTACCCCTGCCTCCTGGCTTCCCTGGCCTACTTCAAGTGTCAGGTAAAGTTCCACCCCCTGCAAAAAGCCTTTTCCTATCCTCCTTCATTTAGTGCCTCTCCTTCAAGTTGATTTCCAGTTTATCCTGTCTAAATCCATAGTTCTTTGCATGCTGTCTTCCCCAGCAAAATGTGAGCTCCTTGAGGGCAGGAGTCATCTTTTTCCTTTCTTTGTATCCCCAGCATTTCAGAGAGTGCCTGGCACATAGCAGGCACTGGATAAATGTTTGCTGACTTATTGACTTGGCAGAAATATAGGAAACATGAATGTGACAAAAACAACTATAATCTTTATTCCTAGCACAGTATTTTCCAGCTATGAAGCTTTCTTAGAAGCAGATACTTCTAGTACTATAAGGTACTAAATGTATAAATGTACCATATCTTCTCTCCATCACTTTTCATTTCAAAAGTAACAAAAACTTACTTGTTAGGACAAACTAAAATCTAACATCCAGAATAAACATAGGTCCCAATAGTCATTCTTATGTAATGTTGTCACCCCAAAAAAACTGTCATCTGATATGCGGAATTTCCCTTCCAAGCGACAGGGAACTTTGTACTGAAACACATTATAGTTCCCAAACATTTGGAAGACAAAAACTGGCAATTAAAAATTCTGCTTTAGAGTCTTAGCCATCACGAGAGTCTGAATAAGTTCCTTTATCCTCTTCTTAATGATCTGATTTTTCTGGTACACATAGATGAACTAGTTACATTTAAAAAAAAAAAAAGAAGAAAGAGAGGTTGCTCAGAACAAAATTCAAGAGCTCTCTGGTATGGTACCTACCCTCCAACTGGAGCCACAGGTATGAACCTTTCACTGCAGTAATAGTAGCAACACATACTTCTTCAGGGTCAGTAGGATTCACTGCCTCAAGCTTCATGTTCTCCTTAAAGCCATGGTCTGAAATTGGCTAAAAGACAATATGAATCAAAATTCCACTGCAGTGAGATAAAATGCACTTTTTCTAAGTGCCATTTTCTAAGTATTATCTCCTAATCACCAGACTGCTAAGAATATACAATATTTTAATTAAAAATAAGGTAATATCATATCCCCATTAGACTGTGGGCTCTCTAAGGGCAGGGACTGTTTTTTTGCCCTTTTTTGTATCCTCAGTGCTTAGCACAATGCCTAGCACATAGTAGGCATTTCATAAGTTCTTACTGACTAACTAAAAAAAAAAAGGCAACCTAAAAGTGCTGTTCCTTTGGCATAGCCTACCATAAATTTTTCTCCTCTACTTCTATCAATATTTTAAAAGCCATTCAAGAACCCAACTCCACAGTTTCAGGGGTATAAACACATGAAAAGATGTTTAAAGTACATTTTACATGGCAGTTTTCACCTATTTAGCTTTATCATTTTTCCAGATTAAACTTAAACTTCTCTCAAAGTCAATGAGAGCTCAATTTATGATGTTAGAATAAAGTTGATTAGATAAAAATAAATCACTTAAACTCAACAGCAAACGCATTTTTCTCTAACCAGTATAACTGCTGAAATGTGTAACCTGGTCAGAGTCCAAACAAATACAATTCATTCTGGAGTAACTTTAACAGGAAATGAGATGAAAATTGATATAAGAACAATGACTCTACAGACAGAAAAATGCTTACCAAAGGAAAGCAACTTTGTGGAGCAGCTTCAGCACCACACTGTTTGAGGTAGTCTGCCCAGTCAAAATCCTGATTCGGGTAGCCTTAAAAACAACAATAACAACAAAAAATGTATGTATGTATGTATGTATGTATGTATGTATGTGTGTGTGTGTATGTGTGTATGTATATATACACACATATTTAAAAATATCTAAGTACTTTAACATCCCTCAAGCTATAGTGAGTCTTCTTTAACCAAAATGTCAGCATGTCAGCTTTCATTCTCCAGAAGCCTTACACACACACACACACACCCTCTACTTCTAGTTCAATCTACTGATTAAAAATTACTCTAGGGTATAAATGACTACTACTTCACAGTTTCAAACTTTAATTCATATTGTGTTGGTCTATATAACAAGGTATATATAACTCTGTATGCATGTCTACATGTTTCTATAGGATCCCGAATTGGAAATATAAATAACTATGTATACTTGGAGATTTTTGTTTTATTTTATTTTAGAGAAAAAAACATTAACTTAAATTTGAAATGTTATTAAGAGATCTGGATTTGAATCCTGGCTCTGAGATCTATTAGCTATATAAGCGTCGACAAGTCACATAACCTTTCAAAGCCTGGTTTTCTCATCTGTAAAATGGGGATAAAAACCCTTATACTACGGACATCATGAGACAGCTTTGAAGAAGGCACTTTTAAGTTTTAAGGCTCCAGCAGCACTTTTTGTGGAGGCAAAGAGCTGGAAACAAAGTAGCAGCCCTGGGTCAGGAGAGCACTAAATCCTTTGTGGTATAAGAAGGTCAGGGAGTATCATGACTGGGCTATGAGAAATCACTGATATGAAGAGCTCAGAGAAGCATGGGAAGGAAGTCTGAAAAGGAGAACCAGAAAAACAACATACACAATGACTGCAACAATGTAATTGGAGAGTACAATAAAACAAAATGGAAGATTGTATGATTATAATGACTAAGCAGCTTGGTCCCGGAGAATGGCAGAAATGCATCTCTCTCCTCCCCTTTGATGCCTAAGTTCATGGGCACAGAATATTGCATACACTGACAGGCAGCTGATATGCTGCCTGGTTTTGATGAGCTGCTTTTTTGGGTTTTTTTCACCTTTTGTTACAAAAAATAGATTGTTAGGTTGGAGGGAAGGATATATTCAGAAATGAACATTATATGAGTGTATATATAAAATGTTCATTTCTGAAAATATATTTTATTTATTTCTATATTTCATTTATTTATATAATTATGTTAGATTTAGTTCTGAATACACACACAGGGCACACACTCTATTATTACAACAATATTATTAAAATGAAAATCACTATATAAAATGAACATTTTTAAAGGATTTATACTTATTTTTATAGGCTGTATCATGAAATTGCACAACAGTCAAATAATTTTAAATTTGTCATGATGGAATGGCCAATCCAAAAATATGTTCTAGTGATCACACACTGCTTTAAAGGTGAGATGAAAGAAATCATTTAGTAAGTCCCAAGTGCTACTTTTATTCCCTACAGAACAAAAACATCTTTCTTGATGATGTTGCCTCTTGGCTTGACTGTCTAACCATCCACTTGGTACTAAGATCATAAGCACCAAATAGAAGAGCAGCTCCTTTCCCACTCACTGAGAAGTATAATGTACCTCCCTGAGAAGAGGCATCTTCACATTCTATGAGGATGATCAAGGACATCTTGCTTTCTAACTGTGGGTGTGGCCCAAGGCTCTGCCTCAGGCCCTCTTTTCTCCTCTCTCCAAAATCTCCCTTTTGAATACCTCATCCATTCCCATAGGTTCAATGGTCATTTCTACAAGATGAATTCTAAGTCTATATACTCAGCCCTTCTAAATGGTAGCACCACACCACCAAATGCCCATTGGACATTTCCATGGCATCTGAAACTCAGCATGGCCTAAACAGAACTCATTAATTTTTCCCACACACCTTTCTTATTTCCTTATTTCTCTTTCCATATCCTAGATTTGCAACCTAGAAATCTCCCTAAACTCTACAGTCTCATGCTCTCCCACGACATATCCAAATCCAATATTTGTTGCCAAATCTTGTAGATTCTACCTCTAGAACATCTCTTGCATCTTTCCCCTCCTGTCCATTCACCTTGCCAATACTTAGAGGCCCTCCTCACTTCTTGCATGGACTACTTGCAACAGATTCACCACTGGTTTCTCTGCCTTTAGTCTTTCCCCTCTCTGGTCAACCATCCACACAGCTTCCAAATTGTTATCATTAAAGTACTGGCCTAACCATGTCATTCCCTAGCTTGAGATGCTCCAGTGGTTACCTAGTGTCATTATGGACAAACATAAATTTCTATTTGTATTTAAAGACCCTCACAATTTGTTTCCAGTCTACATTTCTAGAATCATTACAAATTACTCTACTTCACCATCTCTTCAAGTTCAGCCAAAGTAGGATGTTTGTTGTTCTCCATAAATGTCATTTTGCTCCCATCTTTGTTTTTTGCCATATGTTATACCTCATGCCTGAAATGTAACACTCCCTTCTAACATGTAGGCTTTTTCTGCTTTCCCCAAGCTGCTATCACCTTCCCTCAAAAAATTACCTTATATTTATTTGCTTGATATACATTTATATTTACTTCTATGTCTATTCTCTTTTCCCCAGCAGAATGTAAGCTTTTGTTCTTGTCTCCCCAGCCTGGCACACAGGAGCTTAAAAAATAGTTGCTGAGGGATAGATGACGTTCAATGAATTAAGAGCAGCAGAAAATGTACTTTCTAATTCAACTTTATGGCCTTTTAAATAAACTCTGTGCCAATGATCATCCCATGTGCTCTTTTCTTCAACTCCTTAATATTTCCTTATGGCACATTTAGAGCTATGCCAACTTATTTTTTAAAATACAGCAAAGAGAACAGAGAATAAGGAATGGAAAGAGGGAAATAAGGATCCTGAAAAACACGCCATGACAACAAATCTTGATTCAAGAACAAGATCCAAGTTCACTAGGTACAACTAGAAAGATATATACCTAGAGGGGGGCTGAGATGTAAACCATTCTTCAAACTCCAATGTACTGGGAAAATGCCAGCACTATTAACATGACACACAAAGGATCGTCTCATGGGATTCTCTGGTCGCAAATCATCAATTTCCACCAAAAAATATTTCTCGTTGAACACCTGTAATTTTAATCAACAGTTATTAAGTTCAACAAACATTAAATGGTTTCTACATGTAACTTCCAAGGACAAGTACTCTTTTCTAGGATAGGAAGCTTAAAAAAATCTTGAGAGTCTCAAAATAGTTCCTGCAACTCTGTGGTACCTCAGGCATATAAATAATCCAATTCAGCAAACATTTATTAAGTATATCTACAGAACAGAATAAAAGAGTATCAGAACTGGAAGGAATCTCAGAAATTACCCAGTCCAACCACGCCTGAACTCTTTATACTGTAAAAAGTATTATCTGGCCTCTGCATAAAAGCAAATTATGTGGAACCCACAATTCATGAGGAAGCCTATTCTACTTTGGGACAACTCTAATCATTAGGAAATTTTTCTTTACATAACATTGATTCCAAATGTGTCTCCACCTCATGGCTCCTAATTCTGTTTTCTAGAGCCAAATAAAGGAAGTCTAATTTAATTCTTCATTCCATAATACAGTCTTTCAAATTTTTTAATAGTATAATTTGGCCCCCCCCCAAGTATTCTCAAGACCTCCAATTCTTTCAAACAGTGCTCACACAGCATGGTCTTCAGTCCCCTCACCATACTCCAATTTGTCAATGTTCTGATTAAAATGTGGCACTCAGAAAAATAAACATTATAATTTATATTCCAGATGCAGTCTATCCAGAGTGGAATACAAAAAGATTACCACCTACCTCATTCTTAATGTGCAATGCTATTCCATGACCCTACCCCTTTGATTTATTTTGCTATTTTGGAATAGCTAGATTCCAGTCATAAATGTCATCCCACCAAATCTCAGTAAAATGGATGAATTTACCTTCTTTAAGATCTCTAATTACCTTGTTTTTCACCCAGATGGTATGTATTTGTGTATAGATCAAATCTGTCTATGGTTACACATCTAGTAAGTGCAAAGGCAGGATAAGTGAGCACAGGTCTTCTGACTCCAAATCTACTGTTCTTTCCACTAAACACAGCATAACCTGAGAAGGGTCGCACAAAACTCTTTGCCCCTTCCATACTCTCCATGCCAAGTGGAAGCAGCAATCTCACTTTCTGTTAGTCTCCTTTTATGCAGTCTGTACATTTTCTCCTAGGAGACACACTCTTACTCGGCTGTTTTTAATTCATAAGTAGCAATTCATGTAAAAGTTTTAATGCAAACAGAAGTTGCCCTCAGTTGTCATGTAACAAGATCTTCAAAGTTTAATTTCTGGCCATTTTTTGCCTTCTCTCGTCCTCTGTGCTACAACTTCAGATGCCTCCGCCTCTCTCTGACTATGTCAATGATTCTGGGCTGATACATCTGGCTACCTTGTAGAACGGAATTGGGGTTGTTGTCTGTGACTAGGTATTATTACACTACAAAATTTTTTGAGCCTGCTGACCTCAAGAATTTTGTACCCCACCTGCATTAAATATTATACTTAACACATCAGGCCCGATACAATTAAAAAAATTAAAGTAATATTTTTTCCCTACACCTAGTCAGATGACCAGGGTGTCCTAAAGCCTATAACAAGGAAAAGTGTATTTCCCTGACTTGTGACACTTCCTAGAATAAAAAACTTTGAATGAGCTGCTACCAACCTCTTGAGTCACCGCCTCTGACACAAAGAGAAGTAAAAGATAAAGTTCTTTTTTACCTTCACAACTGTAGCAGGAGAAATAGCAAAAGGGGCCGAGGGGTCTAGTGCTTCCAATTTCATGTTTACAGAGAATGTGTGATGACCAATTACTGATTTATCCTGAAATGAAAACACCATGTTGAAATATAAGGACTACAGATGCTAAAATCTCTTGCCTTGTTTTTGAAATGTCTGCTGGCTTCAGTACTAATTTTGGATTATCCCAAGTACGTTTCAAATAATTATGCTAGTTAATTCAATCTTCTAACAGAAATTAGGCTAGCTAATCCACTAACCTTTCCCGGGGAACAATTCAAAAGATAAACTCTGAGAAATTATTATTTTGAAGACATTCATGCAATAGATTACATTAAATTAATGGGGAAAATTTGGAGGAGGAAGAGGAGATGAGAATAATGAAGCAAATATTTAATATACACCTTAACCTAAAGCTACTTAGCTAAGGATATAGTTATAAAAAAGGATAAAAGATAAAATTAAACTACCTAAGATGTACTGAAGTCACACCAATGGATAATGAAAATCAAAACCATTACAAGAAGAAATAATATTGTTTTTCAAAACTTCTTTTACACAGATACATACCTCCCACGACCACTTGCTATTTACTACTTTGTCAACAGAACAATATCTTTAAAGTTTTTCTTTTTTACCTTAAATAAGTCAGAGGGTATCAATGATTCTTCTTCTTCCTCTTTAATTCTGGTTAACATCTCCCGCCATTCTGCCTCACTTTTCAAATGTCTGATGGCTTCAGCAAAAAATAAAGCAGAAGCACATTGAATTACATAGAAACATTTGTGCAAATGTTACAATGTGTGAGTGTGAGTTAATGATTACAAGCATTTTTTAAACTTGTTTTAGAGTCGTTTAAAGACTTAATTTATACTAGATATTTGACATTTTTAAACCCAAATTTATGTGTTTATTAATTTAACTAACAACAAGTATGAGTATAAAGTGACCCCTAAAACTGAAACCTACTCCCAAATACACTTCAGGAACTTGTCACTAATTTTCAACACTTTGGCTAATAATCCTACTATTGGCTGAGGAGGTACGGCTAAGTACAGAATTTAAAATAAGCAGCTGAATGTATCTGGAAAATGAATATATCACTGCAGTAGCAAAAGAAGCCCTAATACAGTGTAATTTTAAATATATTACAGCAACTGAAATTCTCATTTAAAAACATGGGTTTTGACAAGACTTGCTACTCCATGAATTCCATTTATTTGAACCCCTTACTTATATGTTTTACTTCATTTTGGTGGTCTTAAATTGGTACTACAAATTACAAATGCCAAGGGACTTAGAAATAATAAAACTGGAAGAAAATTTAAGATATAAAATCATAAACTTTGCATTTTTACAGCCCTATAAACTTTAATGATATCTTTACTACATGTACTGAAGGGAGCTTCCACAACACATGGGAACATGATAAATCATTAGTCTCTTCAAAATAACCTATACATAGAAAATGTCTTCTTAAAAGTTGTTTTTCACCTGTTGGAGGCTGAAGCTCATATCCCTGCTGAGATGCCCAACCAACTTGATGAAGGAATGGATCCAGGTAAAACAACCACTGTTCAAATTGATCAGAATTCTCCAGACCTTCATAGTGCAACTTCAATCTTCCTCCAATATTATCCACTACATTGACAATCCAAGTGCTTAAAGAATCCTGGAAATTTTGACATTCCAGTCTGGAGCCTGGTGCAATGAGATCCAAAGGATTCTTCCCTTTATGAAGCTGCAGATAAAAAAAGTAGACACAATGAAATAAGAGAACAAGCAACAACAAAATTAATAAACACATAAATTTGGGTTCAAAAACGTCAAATAGCTAGTATAAACGAAGTCTTTAAATGACTTTAAAACAAGTTTAAAAAATGCTTGTAATCATGCAGTAACAAGAGATTCAGAATAAAACATCTAGCATTTTGGGTAGAGCCTCTAAGGAGAATCTATGAAAAGACTTGGACAACAATCTCAGAAAATCAGAAGGCAAAGCTGGTCTGCAATCTAGATTAGGGGAGTGAGTTCCTACAGGGACACAGGAGATAAAAAAACCAATATACTTAAGTAAAACTTAAAGATTACTGACTAAAACCCTAAATATTCTTTTACATTTTTGTTGCTATGCACAAGGTGATTTTATGCTAGTATAGCCTACTACTTAAACTAAAAACCAAATTATCAAAATTCCAAGAGAACTCTGTATGTTATATTATTTGACTTCATTCAGGAAGGTAGTTACACCATTCAAAAAGGAAAAGTTTGCCTATATCCTTAGTTATTTGTTATGAAACCACTAAGAACAGGAGAATCTTTCAAAATATGATTTAATCTCTCCTTAAAAACACACAGCACATTTATTTTCTCAGTATGTATTACTATTTCCACTTAAGACTACTTATCACACAAAGTGTTTGTAACCAATAGGAGGAACAATAAAACTACAAAGGAAAAACTTGCTTTACTTTTCCTTTTTACAAAGGAAAAAATATGCTTTAAAGCAAAATGCTCTGAAAATGGCAATAAAGTAAGCCATACAACCCTGAAGGATAGCCTGGAACTAAGAAAAGGATATCCTCTTTCTTGTAAAAAGAACTGCTGTCATAGACAATGAAAAAGGGAGGTGGGGAGTGGGGATTACACTTTGAAGATGAAAATAACCCAGCGATGCCTAGCTCCACATGTGTGCCTGGACCATGAGAGTAGGGATTGGACCTGTAATTTCACTGATACAAAAAAGTCCTAGATAAAGAAAACTCCCCCTTTCAATGTAGGTTAGTACCTTCTCTGAAACTGGTAGTCTCAGAACTGCCTAGGGCACTGAGAGGTGGACACTCATCCAGTGTTAACATCCACATCCTATGTGTCAGAGGTCCTGACATCAGGATCACTTCTACTACATTTTTTTATACGAGATTGGATAAATCACTTTCCTCCTTTGTAAAACAAAGGAGACAAACTAGAGGATTGTTTTGGGAAGTCTAAAAGCACCCAGAGAGGCAACTTGGCACAGCTGATAGAGAAACTTCCTAGAAGTCAGAAAGACCTGGGTTCAAGTCTTGCTTCTGATTCATACTGTCTGTGACCCTTGGTAAGTCACTTAATTTCAGTGCCCCCAAGCAACTCTCTAAGATTATAAATTGCAGAGCAGGTGCCAGTCAACCTGCAATGGTGGTAGGAATATCCTCATCCAAAGTCCTTTATGCCAATAAAATCACAGGTCCAGTTGCTCTATACCCCCCCAAAAAAACTGAGGGACACCCAGAAAAGTTAAATGAGCATCTTTATACAAAAATTTTAAGAGAAAATATCACTATAGTTAATAAGTTTTTCCATGTTGCTTCCACTGGCATCAACACTCACGCCCTCTAGCAGGTTAGAAGGAGCACTATATGCTCCCTTCAGAGTCTCACGTAGGAACTCACTGCAGTCAGAAATCTTGTCCTTGATACCTAAATGGGAAAATAAATGCATAATAATTATCCCTTTTGTCAAAAATAAGCCACCCATAATCTTAACCTCTTAAAATTCTCAAATAGTATTTCAAAGACTATTATTTCATTTAAAGATCTACTAAGAGATTTGCAGGGGTAGGGAACCTGCCTCAAAGCCACATGTGGCCCTCTAGTCCTCTAGTGTGGCCTTTTGACTAAATTCAAGACCGTGAAGTTTGAATTCAGCCAAAGGGCCACACTGGAGGACATAGAGGGCCACATGTGGCCTCGAAACCACAGGTTCCTAGCCCCTGCATTAGGGCATCTATTTTTCCTTGTAGAGCTCAGCAAAGACTGAATTCAATTCCTCATTTGGATACATGGAAATAATACTTATCAGTTTAATGAAGACTGCATACATCATGAGGTGCAAAGTTGGTCAATTCCCACCTTACAGACAAACTACATAAGGAATCAACCAATCAACATATATTAAGCGCCTACTATATGTCAGGCATTGTGGGTATACAAAAAGAAGCAAAAGACAGTCCCTGTCCTCAAGGAGTTCACAATCTACTGGAGGAGACAATAAACAAATATATATATACATACATACACACACACACACACACACACACACATATATATACATATACATATATATATATATACATACACACACACACACACACACACACACACACACACACACACACACACACACACACATATATAGGCAGTTGGGGTTAAGTGACTTGTCCAGGGTCACACAGCTAGTAAACGTCAGGTGTTCAAACAAATATATATATATATATAACAAGCTATATACATGATAAGCAGAAAACCACTAGAATTAAGAGCAGTTGGAAAAGGCTTCCTGTAAAAGAAGTGGTTTTAGTTGGGAAGCGAGGAAAGGCACTCAGTAGAGTTGAGGCAAGAGAGAGTTCCAGGCAAGGAAGATGGCCAGAATAAATACCCAGAGCCAAGACGTCAAATGTCTTGTTTGTGGAACAGCAAGGATGATAGTGTCACTGGATCAAAGACAATGTGGTAGAGACTAAGGTGAAAGAAAACAAGATAAGATAAGATTATGCTTGGTGATGAAGGTGTTGTAAATGCCAAATACAGCAATTTGTATTTAATCCAGGAGTCAAAAGGGAGTCAATGGAGTTTACAGAGTAGGGGAATTGACATGATAGAACCTATGCTTCAAGAAAATCACTTTGGTGGCTGTATCACAGTGGATTGGAGAATGAGGAGAGAGGGAGGCAGACCCACCAGCAGGTTATCGAAATAATCCAAACATAAGGTGATGAGGGTCTGCACTAGAGCAGTGGCAGTGTCAGAGGAGAGAAAGAGGCATATTTGAGAGACGTTGCAGAGAACTCTGACAACAAACTAGACACGGGGGATGGGAAAAAGGGAGACTGTAAGGTATCAAAAACTACTCAGTAATGAGCCAGAGGGAACTAGAAGAGTAGTGTTGCCCTCTGCAGTAATGCGGGTGGGGGCGGGGGATACTGGGGGAAAGGTAATGAGTTCTGTTTGGACATGCCGAATTTAAGATATCTACTGGACATCCAGTTTGAGATGTCTGAAAAGCAGTTGGAGTTGTGAGACTGGAGGTCAGCAGAGAGGGACAGAATATGTAGATTTAAGAATCATCAGCACATATAAGAAATGATGAGGAGGATGCTTTCAGAAAAACCTGAACTTACATGAATTGCTGCAAAGCAAAGCGAACCAGGAGACCATTGAACAGAGTAACAGCAATACTGTACAATGATCAACTGTAAATGACTTATTGTCAGGCATACAAAAATGCAAGACAATTCTGAAGGGCCTATGATGAAAAATGCTGTCTACGTCCAGAGAAAAGAACTGACAGAATCTGAATGTAGACTGAAACATACTGGGGCTTTTTTTAAACTTTATTTTTCTTGGGGGTCTTTTTTGCCTGTATTTTTTTACATTTTTTATAATTAATTTATTTATTTTTAGTTTTCAACATTCACTTCCATAAGATTGTGAGTTTTAAATTTTCTTCTCCTCCCACTTATCCCCCCCCCAAGACAGTGTAAAATTTGATATAGGCTCTACATACACATTCATGTGAAACATATTTTCCCATTAGTCATGATATAAAGAACAATCAGAACTAATGGGAGGAACCACAAGACTGAAGCAATAAAACAAAACAACAAAGGAAAAGGAGAGCAAATAGTATGCGTTCATCTGCATTCAGACTCCATACTTCTTTCTCTGGGTGTGGATTTGCCTCTATTTTCCTTCACAATATGACTAATATGGAAATATGCTTTACATGTCTGTACATGTATAAACCGTATCAACTTGCTTGCCTTTTCAATTGAAGGCTTGAGGGATGGAAGAGAATTTGGAGCTCAAAATTGGCTTTTTTTTTTAAGTTAAAAATTGTTTTTACGTGTAATTTAAAAAATAAAATAGTAAAACTTTTTTTTTAAGTGGAAGGTCTGAGGAAGGATGAAAAGTTTTGGAAGAGCCACTATGGGGAGTGCAATAGTACTGAGAAATATAGAAGCATTGCCTAGCAGCATTTATAGTGCAACTGAGGTTGTATAACATAAATTTGAAGTGGACTCATTTTCTCCACCTTCAGCACATATGTAGGAGCAAAGGTAACAAATGGTGGGAGTGATACAAGGCTGAGGCTTGGCAGGAATAGGTTCATGAAGGGGTCAAGATGGGGCAAAAAAAAGGAAAAAGTGGCTAGTGCCAGGGAGGTGGCTTAAGAGAGAATTAAGGGGTCAAAATATTGGAGGTCAAAAGAAAGGAATAATTCAAGAGATTTTAAAATAAGAAATGGTAGAACTTGGTGACCATCAAGATGCCGGAGATGAAATAGAGAAGACTAAATCTCCTGAAATATAGCAGGAACTCAGTACTTATTGAACATACTGAGTCAAAAGAGTGAGAATGGCCTACATTTTAAAGTTAAGCATCAGAACTATACAATTCATCTTTTCTTTGTATTTCTAATTTTAAGAATTATGCTTCAATTTCTTCCTCCAAGTAAAGGACTGCTACCATACTTACTCACAAACAATACCATTTATATTGGAATCACAGATCTAAAGTTGGAAGAGACATTAGAAGACATCTATCCCAATTTGAAATGGTAGTGGGCATACATAAATATCATAAGTACTGGGTAATCTCATCTATGCCAATAATACTCAAAAATCAGGAAGTAAAGAAAGAAGCCTTTGGGAAACCTAAATAGACGTATCATAAAGCTCATATGCTAAACATGAATTTTTCTTATAAGTATTTTCTTATAAGAGGACAGTTTGAGGTCCTCACTCAAAACCTACTATATAATCTTATTACACAGTTTTCACAAGATAAGCTATTTGGTTTAGAAAACACAAAAGCAGCAAATTAGATTAGAAGCATCAAATCATAATGGAAGAAGAAACTGAGAAATCATAGCCATGAAGGCTACAGGGACCATAAAGCAAAACATAAGAAGCCCAAAAGCACAGTAGAGAGCCATTACTGTAGGAGAAAACAAGCTAACATGCCTCAAAGGCACTCACTACATTACTGAAGAATACAACTGATGTTTAAAATTATGACCTTGAGAAAAGGTTAAATTGCATCCAGTACTCCCTTCATTTAATAAAGCAAGGAAGAAGATAATACATTTTAGAAATATTTTCATTCAAAATGGTTTTTAAAAAGAAAATGTTGTAGTCTTTTAACATTCATTTATTTGGAAAACTCTTAACCAGACTTGAGGTTCTAGTGGTCCTAGGTAGCCATAGTTTTTGCTACAGTACTCTTCATCCTACAGGAAATTTTCTATTACCTTCAGGTGCTTTGAGAATCTTCTTATTCTGCTCACACCAGCCAATGGGGTGTAAATCAGCTGTCCTGATATCACACCAGAAATCTGCTTTTCGGTCCTCTCCATAGCCATCATAACGCAACAAGAGTAACTGCCCACATGTGGTGATGATGGTAGCAACCCAGTAAGTTTCATGGTCAGATTTTACAGCAACCTCTAGTTTCATGCCAGGAGCAAATCCATTCTGCAGACTTGTGTCCACCTGAATAACAAAACTCAATAACCACCAGACCATCTATGGCACATAAAATATTCTCATGGACAATATTTCTCATTCAAGGAAAGTCTTTAAACATACAAGCCCTAAATAAAATTTTTGTTAAAACAAAAATAAAAGTTCTAACATTATGTTAAGTAGACCAAAACAAGAGTGGCAACACTTTCAGTAAATTGAAACAAAATGTTTCACCCACAGAAGCATATGATTACAGAACTCTTGTTTCTGCTAAGCACATAAATCACTAAATTTTTATGGAGCCTATGAGTTTCTAGAAGTGCTTCGTCTTACTACTCAGCATGTGAAGGATTTGTGTCTCAGGTTCATAGAAGTTAGGCCATTTTCCCATAATTACTCAGTAAGCACAAAGGAGGAATATAAACCCAGAATTCCCTGATACCAAGTCTAGTATGCTCTCCACTACTCCACGCTACTTCTATCTCCTCACATTTAAATAAGATGATAAAATTAAGAATTATAGCATGAATTCCCTATTTAAGACTTGTAGAAGTAAAAAGAAATTTAGGAGTTCTCTTTAAATCACTGAAAAGAAATTTCTAAAAGTCCAATGTTGGCTAATGGCAAAAATTTAAAAAGCAGAACCAAAATTATCTACTGATGAATTTCCAAAGACAGGTAATATGTATTCCATATGATTTGTATTATAAATAAGTCAGGTACAAGAAAGTACACTCTCTTCAAACACCTGAATTAAGTTAATTCCAAATCCAAAGGAAAAGCAAAGCTCTCTATGGCCAATTTATCTTTCCAGAAAGAAATGGAAAGACTCAGTAATAAATTGTACTAGATAATGAAAACAAGAAGGTAATTTGAACAAAGCTGTAAGGTTCTGATTTTGTTAGCACATTTCTCACTGGTTTTGAACGTAAGATTCTTCCAAAACTCTAGTGTTAGTTAGACAACTAGGTGAATACAGATCAAATCCTAACCACTAAACAAACAGTTCAATTTTTTATTTTGTTCAATAATTTTTTTAAATTTATACCATAATTTGACTTCATCAAATATTGCTAGAAATGAATCATTAGCTGAGAAAAACCTTTCTGTCATATAGATATTTCTCATATACTTGTAATGCATTTGAATATTTATTCTATGTAAGCATACATGAAAAATTAAGATTCATTAAAAGCTTTTTATTTGCTTCTTTTTTTAATGAACCCAACTGGGTAAAATTCGTATAAGTCCAAATAGCCACTAGGGGGCTCTACTGTTCTATTAACTGATAAGACAAAAACAAAAGATAATTAAAATCATATCTGCACTTGGAATATACAATTTTAATCAGAAAATTCCAAAATGGATATGCATGAACAAGCTATACAAAACTCCAAAGAAGGGCAATTCTGCATGAAAATATATTAATAATAAAGATTTCAGTCTGTAAAAACAAAGACTAAAAGATGATATAATAAAAATGTATAAAAACATGGTACAGACAATATATAGTCACTGCTTTGTTCACCACATCCCAGCATATGAGAAAAAGTACCATTAACCACCCCCCCACAAGAGAATGCTGTTTTCTTTTTAAAATAACTTATTACTTTAAGAAGATATTCAGGATGAACAGACTGATAAAACATCTGTATAAGGGGTTCTTATTCTTTTTGTGTCATGCACTCACCTGGCAATCTGGTAAATGAGGTCTAATAGCCCCTCAGCATAATGTTTTAAAATACATAAATTAAAATAGGATTATAAAACAATTATATTAAAATAGCTATCATTATATTTTTTTGTTTTTAGGCAATTGGGGTTAAGTGACTTGCCCAGGGTCACACAACTAGTAAGTGTTAAGTGTTTTGGTCTGAGGCCGGATTTGAACTCAGGTTCAAATTTTTGAACTCCTGACTTCAGGGCCAGCGCTCTATCCACTGCGCCACCTAGCTGCCCCTGTCATAATATTTTTAAAAACAAGTTTGCAGACCTCAAGTTTAGAACTCCTGGGTTAGATATACATGAGTAATTAATCTAAGTTATACAGATACATGCCTAAACGTCTGAGGTTAATGTCATGTGATACTCCTTTAATGACACATTTAATAGACAAATGGCCATAAGGACCATTGGTATGACTAAACAGGATAGCTATGATGTTCTTACTGTAATAAGAACAATCAAATGTCTCCTCTTAATGAGAGGAAGCACAATGAACTGGCTGTTGGAAACTGGTTCCCCACCCCCATCTCCCCATCACTGCCACCTGAAGGGCTGCTGTCCCCAAGGCAGAGAACAAAAGAGACACTAGCTCAAGATCTCAACAAGGACTCCTGAGAAAGGACTGGAGTAGTGGAAACAGATCCACACTCAATCAGAGGACCTTAGTTCAAATCCCAGCTTGGAAGCTCAATAGCTGAGTGACATCAAGCAAGTCACTTTACATCTCCTGGCTTCAATTAACTCATGTGCAAAATGAGGGAGATAAAACAGATGATCTTTAAAGTCTAAGCTAGCTCTAAGTCCTGTGATCCTGTGGCATGCTGTAAGCTTGATCATTTCAAATGAATATATAAGAATGATACAATTTTGTTCATTTTATCCATAGGCTTCTGAACATGATGCTACAGGTATTTTAACATACATAAAAGGTTACTGAGTCAATTGACTAACCTGACAAGAATTAGGAGGCAGAATAACAACTAATTGAAAAGATTATTAGAGCCGTTTTTAACAAAGTAAGCACACTTAGAGAGCTTATCTTAGTCTAACTTATAGAAATTTTAATTCTTCTGAAAGACTCATATATGAATCCAAGGGGAAAAGGACATATAGAGAAAGTCAAGAAAATAAAGTGATGACTTACATGCTTGAAAGATCCATGTGGAGCTGCTATGGATCCCGTATCTTCTAGATATTCATCCCAGTTAAATTCCACTTCCTCCACACCAGATCCAGCATCTAGAATGCAATAATAAGGTCAGGTTCTCATTTTTTGCTAGTCAACAAGCATTTATTAAGCAGTACCTACTATGTGCCAGACATTGTGCTAAGCACTGACAATACTAAGAAAGAAGAGTCCCTGATCTCAAGAATCTCTCAGTCTACTGGTGATGACAACATGCCATACAAACAAGATATACACAAGATGAACTGGAGATCATCTTGAAGGGAAGGCATTAATATGAAAGTGGACTGAGAAAGGCTTCTTGCGGAAGGCAAAACTTTAGCTGAGACTGGAAAGAAGCCGGAAAGTAGAGACGAATAAGGAGAGAATTTCAGACATGAAGGAGAGCCAGTAAAAATACACAGAGCTGTTGTTTCAGAAAGCAAGGAGACCAGTTTCACAGAACAGTAGAATACATGACGTGGAGTAAAGTATAAGAAGACTAGAAAGTTAGGAAGGGGCCAGCTTATGAAAGGCTTTAAAAGCCAAGCAAACGATTTGGTATTTGATCCTAAAGATAATAGGGAGTCACTGGAATTGATTAAATAAGTAGGTGACAGGGTCAGATCTGCGTTTTAAAAAGATCACTGATGAAAAAAAAAAGATCACTGATGGAAAAAAAAAGATCACTGAAGGCTGAGTGCAAGATGGATTAGAATGGGGAGAGCCTTGAGGTAAGAAGACCAACCAGTAGGCTATTACAATAGTCCCAAGTGCGAGATGATGAGGGCCTGCACTGTGGTGGTGGTGGTGCTGGAAGCAGCTATCACAAGAGAAAAGGGTATTATGAAAGTAAACAACTGGATTTGACAATTGGTTAAATGGGAGTGAGGAGTGTGGAAATATGGCACCCACTGTGTGAGGGAGGAGTTGAGAATAATACCTAGGCCACTAGTCTAGATGAATGGGACAATGGAGATCCTACACAGAAATAGGAAAGTCAGGAAGACAGCTGTAAGGGATAAGAAAAGAACTTTTAAAAAGAAATGAGTTACTTTCATTTCCTATTTGCAAAATCCTCTTTTTAAGTCTTCTCACTTCCATTCTCTCCCTCTCCCTATTTATCCTTTATACTACTGACAGAATAATCTTAAAGTGTCTCTCACCTACTCAAAAATTTTCAGCAGCTCCCTACTGACAAAGATTAAAATTCAAACCTTTCCACAATCTGTTGCTACCCTGCATTTTTAGCCTTATTTTATACTCCTACCATCACTGGACTCTACTCTCTATCCAAACTGGACTACTTCCTATCCCCATGAATGCACAATGTCCTCTCCTCACCCCACTATATTTTTAATTGTTTAATTTCATCAACATCCTCCTAACTCAGGCCTTAGGGCCACCTCGCTCAGCCTCCTCTTCCCTTTGATTGAAGGGATGAGGGTGGAATATTAAATTCCCAAAGCCTTCCTTTACAGAAGGCAGAAACTGGACTTCCAGCTCACTTCACCTTCCATTTGCAGCTATGAATGGTTTCGATGGGTACCTCCTGGTGTCTGTCATCCCCACCCCCACTTTTCAACTTCCTTTTGTGTGTTGTCTTCCCCCATTAGATTGTAAGATCCTTGAGGAAAGGTACACTCTTCCTTTTTCATATTTATATCCCTGTGTTTACCATAGTCCTGGGCACACAGCAGGAGTTTAATATTTATTCAATTGATCACAGTATTTCCTATACATAGGATGCCTTCCCTCCCCTTCATTTAGTGTTAATTTCCAACTTATCTTTTAAATATCCAGCAAACAACACTTCCTCTAGGAAGCCTTCCCTGATCTCACTGGTCAGTTATGATGTTCTTCCTCACACCTTAGACTGGATTTTGTTCTGTAACTAACAGTTATATACTAATGGAATAAATATTACATCTGCCTGCATTGATATCTTATTCCTGCCCCATCCCCATTATGTTTCAAGCTCAGGAACTATCAGCTAAACTTTTGGCAGTGCCTCTTACAATGCACATATACAAGAACCAAAGCTTGAAGGGACCTCATACTCTATCTAGTCCAACTGTTCCATTTAATAGATAGGATAACTGAGAACCAAAGAAGTTGTAGCTTTCCTAAGGTTACACAGGTAGTAGATGAGAAAGATACCATTAGAACTTGGGACTTTTCACTATGGCACCTAGGTGGCATAGCAGATAGCCTGTCAGGCTAGAATCAGGAAAACTTGACTTCAAATCCAGCCTCACACACTTCCTAGTTGAGTGACCTTAGACAACTTACTTCACTTCTATTGGCCTCAGTAAAAAGGGGGTAACAACAGCACCTACTTCCCAGGGTTGTTGTAAGGATTAAATGAGATAACAATTGTAAAAAAAACTAATGAGCCTAATATAGTTCCTGGCACATAGTAAGCACTATATAAATGTTAGCTATTATTATTACTATTATTACTGTATATTATCCAGTGTCATTCCATTATACCATGCAATTTCTCTGATGTATTTAAAACTAGACTCAATTCACAAGAATTCAACTTGTATGAAATTTTTCAGAAATATATCTTTAGCACAAAAGACAATATACCTGTAATGATAAACCTATGATTCTTTGAGTTCCATTATCAGAACCATTTTGATCAACTATAGTTTAAGCCCAGGGAAACTACTATTAAGTCAGTCAGATTTGATTGAAATGAGACCTTAAAAAATCATTTCAGATTTCTTTCACATCCCAATTCCCATTCTGAACTTTAAAATTATAGAAAAACATCTCAATTCAGCCAAGGTGGGTGTTTTATAGTGAGGTATGTCTGATAACTTTCTGGAAAGGATGCTGGGTTGGGAGCCAATGAAGTCCTGGGTTTGGCACTTTCTACTTTTCAAACTTGGGCAAATCATTTAAACTACCTAGGCCTCAATGTCCTCAGCTGTAAAATGAGGAGGTCAGACTCAATGACATCTGAGGTGCCTTTTGGCTCTCATTTTATCATCCTGTAATTACATATAATTATACTTTATTAAAATATCAAGGCCATGAGGTACTATTAAATTAAGTCCACAAACAAAACAACCAAGTTCAATTTTAAAAACATGTAGAAAAGATAGAAGATGAATACACAATTGTTATTATGAAATTAACAATGAATGCCAAGAAAACAAAGAGTACATTTTTAGCTATACAAAGGATAAAAGGAGCATCACAACCTATATATTCTCATTCCACTGAAGGCACCAGCAGGGACAGTCATACACTTGATCTCCTAAGTCACAAGTGTTCTATCTCTACTGTGTGTTTCATTCTGCATATTACATTATTCTGAAAAGGAGCCTATAGGCATCATCAGACTGCCAAAGGGGTCCATAATGCAAAATAGGTGAGAATGTCTGGACTAGGATCCTAGAAAACTCTTGTCTCCACCCCACTGTCCCAGCTGACTTCCACCCCTAGAACACTCTAACCCCACCAATCACATCTCTTGGTTTCCCTGACTTCCTTCAAAACTTGGCTAAAACGTGACCTTTTGTGGTCTCCCCTCTTAGAATTCTTTCCAACTACTCCATATACACATTTTATCAACTTAATTGTTTACATGTTATTTCCACCATTAGAATGTAACTTCCTTGAGGGAAGTGCTCATTTTTCCATTTCTTTGTATGCCCAGTACCTTGCACAAGAACAAGTGCTTAATGACTTAACAAACTAACTGCTGCCTATTTTCCAGGCTAATTACAGACTATCCCCTCAAAAATTACCCTCTGAATAAACAGACTCGCTTGTTGTTGCCTGTACACAATATTTTATCTCTTCCTCCATGCCTCTGCACAGGCGCTATGTCTGGAATGCTCCCCTTCCCGTTACCTTCGCGTGTTGGAACTTTTATCTTCCCTTAAAGGCCCTACTCAAATGCCACCTCCTGGATCCCAAAATCCCTGTTTTTATTTTGTATTTATTTTACATTCGTCTATGAAAGCATTGCATTTCCCCAATTAGAACATCAGCTCCTGAAGTGAAGAGTGGCTCACTTTTTGCATCTGGCATATAGTTGGTGCTTAGTAAATGTTTGCAGATTGCTTGATTAAAGCACATGCAACACCGCTGACTGAGAAGTATGGTACAGTGATAACGGATGGAGAAAGTCTTTAGAAATGACTGAACAGAGTCACTCTTAGTTTGATCCTTTTTGTCTTGGCCAAGGAAAATGACCTTCGGATCAGCAAGTACAAAATAAAAATGGTTAGTAATGAATTGAAGTTCAGGATAAGGAGAGGAGAGCAGGATTAGGTCAACTATCTATCCCAGAAAGGCTTGGCAGAAATGATGGCTGATTGGTCAGCAGTAGTCTTTCAAAGATGACAAGCAGTGTATAAGGCCTGAAGGGCAAATGATATCTGAAACAGCAGAGAAGCTGTCACACTTTTGCCTGGACTCCAAATTCTGAGAAAATCTTAGAATGTATAATTAATAGTATGGTGTTGAGCATTTAGCAAAGGAATCAGTGATCACTAAAGCACAATATGGTTTCAGGAAGAATAGCTCATTAAGAAAACCCTGTTGGGGACATTAGCCTGGTAGATCTGGGGAATGTGGTAGAAGTAGTTTACATAAATCTGAGCAAAATTCATGACAATTCAATTCAATAAACACATATTAAGTATATGCTATACATACAGCCCAATATTAGGCAATGTGAATACAAAGATCAAAAACAAAAGTAATAATATTCCTTGCTCTCAAGCAATTTACAATTTAGTTGGGAATACAGGTAAAGAGATAGATTAAATCTAAGATTAATATGTACAGGAAGAGCACTAAAAACTAAAGAGTAAGAAAAAAATCTTTAATTAAAAAAATAATAATAAAGGCATCAGGAAATGATTTAGGTAGGAACTGAAAGCTGAGCTGGGACTACAAGAAAAGTTAGGAGACTCTTAAGAGGTATAAATGAGAGGAAGAAAAACATTCTCGGTGCTGAAACCTATGAAAGGAGTTCAGGAAGAGCAATAAGGCCAGCAATATAGTGTGTATATAAAAGGGAATAACTGTGAAACAATTCTAGAAATAT